TTTTGAAATTTTCAAAAGACATCTGAGAAAACACTGAAAATCAATAAAAATTCGAATTTCGCGCGCTTTTACCGGCAGTTGGCCTAGAAAACTCACACCTGGCCGCTAGGCCACCGGATCCCACTTTGACTTTTCGATGCCGTTTTTCTCAATGAAGGAATTTTTTTTTGAATTTTTTCTTTATTTTTATGGGAATCTACATGGATTTCTGCACAAAATAAAGCAATAAAATTTTTCGCCGCACACCACCTTTAAATATTTTTAAAATTTAAAAAAATGAGAATTTTCAGAGAATCTTTTTTATATTTCTAGCACTTGGCCATTTTATTTTTATGTACTTTAATTTTTCGGCGACCTTGGTTTTTCGAAAAAAAACGGAATTTTAGAACCTGAAATAAAGTTTTATAGTTTTTTTCTCGCCAAATTTTTTGTGATTTCAATGTTTTCGTCGTTTCAGTGATCAAAAAATCCCTAGTAGTCATCGATTCCGCCCAAATCGACCTAATTTTTTAAATTCCTGTATGCAAAAAAAAAACACCAAACTTGAAGCACAGAGTATTCGAATTGTTGAGGATAAATTGAAAAAAAAATCAATAAGACAAAAAAGTGCAAAACGGAGAACGATCAAAAATTAGAAAAGAAAAAAGACACTTTTTCGTATTTCTTGAAATTTGATATTTTTCTCTACACTCTTCGGGTGTATCCCACGATTGCTCATCCATCGCACTTCTTTTTTTTGTAAAGTTCGCTCTATTGGTAAACTAGTTATGACAGTTTTTATAAGTGATGAAAGACGGGGGAAAGTTTGAAAAAAAAATCACAAAAAAAATGGAGAAAATGAGCAGGACAGCGGGTGGGAAAATATGACAAATTCTGAGACAAATTGAACCGAAAAAATGGAAAAAGTTGGAAAATTCAAAAAAGGGATCACATTCGAAATAAAGGGGCTCTCTGGGAGATCATCATCTCTTGTTTCCTGCGTTGTTCTCGTTGAATTTCCACCTGTTTTTGAATTTCCTCACTGTAGAGACCGGTTATCGGACGGACGATCGGATGGTCCGTGTGGACGGCGAGCTCGTGTTTTCGTAGAGATGAGCTGGAAAAATGTTTTTTGCAACAGTTTTGGAATGATCAGTTCTAAAACGTCGCGGTTCTGAAACGGCATTTTTTCAGATTGAAATTAGCGGCTTTTGAGGTATAAATTTCAGATTTTTGGGTGTAAAATATCCAATTTTTCAATATTTAAGGTCATTTTCCTTATTTCAAAAACCAAAACTCACTTATCCCTGAACCGTTTCGAGCACTTTCCACATCCAAACGGCATTTCTTTGGTATGCGTTCGTATATGGGCGGTCAGTGCTTGACTCTGTGCGAACGATTTGTTACAGTAACCGCAGGAGTACGGTTTTTCGCCAGTGTGAACTCTCTCGTGCACCAACATGTCCTTTTTGAAATGGAATCGCAAATTACAGAATGTGCAATTGAAACGAGCCGTTTTGCCGTTCGGTAGGAGCTCTTCTGTCGGTGGCTGTTGATCAAATGTCGGCGGATGGGCGGTGTTCTGGAATTGCTTATCTGTTGAAGCTAGACTACCGTAGTCTGATTTTCAGAAGTTCACAAATTCGAAGATTCGGAAAATCAAAAATTCTGAAATCTGAAAGTCAGCAATTAGGAAATTCAGAAATTCGGAAATCTTTGCATTTCTGAATTTCCAAATTTCAGAATTTTTGAGCTTCTCAGATTTCTGGAATTTCTGGAATTCTGAATTTTTTTTCACAGTTTCTGATTTGCTGAAATTCAGAATTCAAGAATTTTCCGATTTCCGAATTTCAGGTTTTCAGAATTTTTGCACTTTTCAGTTTCTGAATTTCAAAATTTCCAAAATTCAGAATTTCAGAAACGTTGCATTTTTTAATTCACGAATTTTTTGAATTTCAGAATTTCAAAAGTTCAGAATTTTAGAATTTTCCGATTTCTGAATTTCTCGAATTTCTGATTTTCAGATTTTTCAGCAATTTTGAATTTCGCTGTTTCTGGGTTTCTGAGTTTCCGAATTTCCGAATTCAGAATTTCCGGATTTCAGGAATTCTGATTTTCAGAATTTTATCATTTTCGAGTTTTTTATTTCCCAAATTTTTAATTTAAAAAAAGGAGAAATTAGGTCACAAAATTAAAATTTTCTGGCTGAAAATATAAAATTTACGCCTGAAAACACATGAAAACCAGAGTCCATCATGATGGCTTTCCGCTGGAAATTCCTGAACTGCAAACCTAAAATTCTAGATTTTCGGCTGAAATATTCAACTTTCTGACCTTATCTTTCCAATTTTGTCTTTAAAAATCTAACAAAATTTCCAGATTCTCTCATCCAATTTTTTCAAAACTTTCTACTCGAATTTGAATTTTTTTTTAGAAGTATAAGTTTTCTGGTTCAAAAATCCGTAGAAATCGCTTAATTTTACACAAATTTTCGAATTTTGTCGCTCAAATTCTTAGATTTTTCCCCGAATTTTCAAAAAGCTCCGATTATGTTCAGGAGTAAAATGACTAACCACATGATTTGTCAACGCCTCCTCCGTCGTGAAAAATCGCATACACTGTCGGCAAGTGCTCCTCGTGAAGTGCATTTTGTGATGTTGTAGTTTGGATTGAAGTTTCGAGAAGATTCTCGGACAATAATCACACGAATACATGGGTTTTAGAAGCGAATGATCTTTTAGATGATGTGTCATCGACGTCTTGCTGGCGAATCGCATTCCACAGTTGAAACATCGGAATGGTCGGGGATCGCCGTGCGAGTCCTGAAATTGAGAATTTTTAGGTTAGAAAATGGGAGGGACTACCGCAAAACCTGTATTAGAAAGGCCCCTTTAATAGAAGGGCCCCCGTAATAGAAGACCTCCTGTAATAGAAGGGCCCTCCTTCAAACAGAATTTTGGAACTTTCAAAATTTTACTTTTTCTGAAATTCTGATCATTCGAAATCTCGAATTGAAATTTTTAGAATTTTTCAAGTTTTGCATTTCTCCCAAATTTTGAAATTTCTGAAATTCTAAAATTCTTGCCTCTTTTCTGAAAATATCTCATTTACCATAAAACCTGTATTAGAAGGGCCCTCTGTGAAAAAGGGCCCCCCTTCAAAATGTGTTTTGAAATCAGAAAATTTCCAGATTTTCATGAAAAACGAAACTTTGTCGAATTTTTCGAAATTTCGGGAAAACTGGCCGGGAGAATGAAATAGGCCCCTGCCATAGAAGGGCCCTTCCGGAAGTACCTTGGAGCAATAGAAGGGCCGGCCCTTCTAATACAGGTTTTACGGTAAATTCCATCAATATACTCACCAACACATGCCTCTGATAGACTTCTTTATTGCCAAAATACGTTTTACACTGAGTACAATGATACAGTCCAGCTAGCGATTTGGGCGTCGTCACTGGCTTCGGATCAGCAATCCATCCATCCACAGAGGGGTCTATAGGGGCTTCTGGCGCGTCGGACGCGTTGATTACTTTGAATCGAAGGATTCGTTCTCCAATTCGAATTCCCAGCCGACGGAGTGGTTGAGGTTGTGCGGGTACTGTAGGGGCTACTGTAGGGGGCGGAGCTTGTGACGTGGATGTGTCTGGAAATTGTTTTAATGATTTTAAAAGCATTTTTAAACGCCTTTCTTCGATTTCTAAAGTTTTTTCAACGACCTTAGGTGGTTTTACACTTACTAGGCACATAATGCATATCCAAGCCCTCCATACTATATTCTCCGTCCATTTCGACGACTTGTTCGGTTATTAGCGGCTCTTTTGACAACGTTTCTCTCGGTATCGTCGCGGTTTTTTGCACTCCACTCGGTGTTCTTGAAATTTTGAAATTCAGTTTTTTTTTGAAATTCGAATTCCCGCCAAAAAAAAATTTTTGCTCACTTAAAACATTTCGTATCTGTTAGCTCGTAGCCCAGCGGCTTCTCATTGCTCCATGCTCGACTCGTCGACGGGATGTCGGTGGAAATATCTGAATTTTAAATTTTTCAAAATTTTCCAATAATCAAATCTCTCTACCCGTTGCGGTTGTAACTTCCTCCTCGTATAGTACAGTTGCATTTGGGTCTTCCAGCATTAATTCTTCCATTTTTGCTTTCAAAAATCACAGAAAAATAGGGATTTTTAGTGAAAAATCCAGTGAAATTGATTAAAATCAGGTGGTGTCGATTTACGCTAAACACCGCGCGCATGCGAGATTTCGGTGTGTCGTTTGTGTTTCGCAGTCTGTGTCTCCTCGCATTAGCACGGAAATGGCTTTTCTCTCGTTTTTTATATTTAAAAAATAGATTTTCAGATGTTTATTTGAAAGTCAGCTTTATTTTTGATTAAAAAAGAGAGAATAAGAGAAAACCCGCATAAAAAATACAAGAAAACGGAAAAAAAACCCGGAAAAACGATTTGGGAAAACAGGGAAACAAGAAAAATGTCTAATTTCTATAATCATTTATCAGATTTTTATGAGATCCATAAAGATAATTCATGGCATTTTTATTGGAAATCGGATCGAAAAAGGTTCTCTCGAAGACCACTTCATGCACGCATTGGATGAATCCAAAGTCGTAGTTCGGGTCGGCGCGGATGAATAGACGGGTGGTGTTTCTGGAAAATTCAATTTTTTGAGAATTTTTTAAAAAATTTTATTGTTTTTGAGGCATTAAAATGTGTAGAAAACTGTGTAGATTCATATAGAAACAAAGAAAAAATGAATTTCCGCCAAAACTGAAAACAGCAAAAAATAAGAGATTTTTCGAGAAAAAATAGGTTTTTTCTCTTCGATTCTTAAAGATGATAAAGAGATCTTTTTCGATTTTTTTCGTAATTTTTTTTTGTCTGAAATATGACGGGATGGTGTTTGTGAAGATTACTGTAGATTACTGTAGAAAACCAATTTCCTCTTGTAGCTTTTTCTGCATTTTGACGTGATTGTGTTTGCAACAAAAAAACTATAAAAGGAAATTAGATGTCTACAGTAAAAAAAAGGAAATTAGATGTCTACGTCAAATTTCAAACGAAAAATCGAAAATAGCTGAAAACCCTGAAACGGTCTAAAGGTTTTGCAAAAAATCGAAGAAAAAATCATTCTCCGAAATCGCAAATTTTTCAGAGTTTTCAGTTTGGCGGGAATTCAAAAAACATTTCCAGACATGGCTTTTTGAAGCGGTTTTTCCAACAAAACATCTTCTAATTGCTGATTTTTGGACCTACCGTATCGCCGGGAAGTCCTGCATCGCGTACAAACAGGACCCATCCACGTCGTACTGATTTGTGTCACAACCTTTTTCTAGAACATGAATTTCTCGATGCTCATCACTTGGTAAATTGAAGTCTGGGGTTTTCATTAGGTAATTATACAGGGTTTTGTGTTGAGAATGCGAAATTGTTGCCATGGAGCAAAGGTGTTGGATCCAGTTTCGGGAGACTTGGTATACTGGAAAAATGAGAACTTTTCAGATTTCTAGAATTTTCGAGATAATTTGGAAAATCTCAGTTTCAGATATCCATAACAGGACGACTTCAAAAAATTCAGGAATCCAGAAATTCAGAATTTCACAAATTCTAGAAATTCTGAAACACAGAATTTTTAGAAAATCTGAAAATCAGAAAATTCAGAATTTTAGAGTTCAGAATTTCAGACAATTGGAAATTCTGAAATTCCGACTTCCAGAAAATCAGATATTTGGTAATTTTGAGATTCTGAATTTCTGGAATTTTTGAATTTTTAGATTCAGAAACCCAGAAGTTCGAAATCTCAGAATTCTAGAAATTCTGAATTCCGGGAATTTCAAAATTCGAATCTTAGAATTTCACAATCTCAGAACTTTAGAATCTCAGAATAACAGAATTTCAGAATCTCAGAATATCAGAATTTCAGATACCCAGAAACTAAGAATTCCAAAAATTCAGGAATTCCCAGCATCGAAAATTCTGAAATTCTGAAACCCGGAAACTCGGAAATTCGAGAAATTCGAAATTTCAGGAATTCAGAAATTTCAAAAAATCGGAAATTCTGAAAATCTGAGAATCTAAAATTTTTCAGATCCAAAAACTCTGAACTTCAAAAACTCTGAAACTTAGAATTCCAAGAACTTTGAATTCTGAACATCTGAAATGCAGAAAATCTGAAATTCCCGTCTAGAAATTCTGGGATTCGGAAATTCTGGAATTCTGAAATTCAAAAACTCCAAAAATTCAATATTCCTGAAATCCTAGAATTCTTAAAACTCTGAAACTCTGAAACTCTGAATTTCTTAAATTCTGTAATTTAGATATTCAGAAACTCACATTGACTAGAAGTATCGTTTGGATCAGCACTCAACAATGTTTCCTCCTTGAAATGAACTCTGAAAATCGAATTTTAAATTTTCTCATCAGAGCGAATTTGCTACTTACCCATTAATTTCTACCATATCCCTCAACCTTCTGGAACGTCTGGACAAAAATTTAGTGCTATGTAGAGGGATGTCGTGCTCCTTCAAAAATCCAATTACATAAAAATTGATTAAACATTGAATTTGGCTCGTTTCAAGCTTCAAAATGTGTATAAACATGACCTATAATCCAAAAATTTCAAATTTCCAGCCACAACTTTTCCACGAGGAGTCCAAAACTCGTTATTGAGAAAGTCGGTCATGTTTACACTCATTTTGAAGCTTATAACAGGCCCAATTCAATTTTCAACATAATTTCAAAAATTACCAACCGCTGTTATGACTGCGTGCTTCCAATCAAACTCGTCGATTTCTTTTAAGCACCGGCGGTGAGCACTGAGCGTTCCATGGGCGGTCGAAGTGTTGAACAGTTCACGAGGCACTAGGACATTGACCATACAGTCGCCAAGACGGAACATCTGGAAATCTTTTGGGAATTTCAGATTTTTTTGAATTTCTGAATTTCTGATTTTTCGATTTTCTCACTCTTTCTTTAAAAATGGGATCCGCTGAAATATCAATTGGGAAGCAGAAGAAATGAATCGGCGAATGCATCATTGTGAGAACCTCTTCCACGAAATCGTAATCCTGGAATTTTGAAAATTGTACTTTTTTAATAACATATTCGAATTCTTCTCTTCAAGAACTTCAAAATGAGTATAATCATGACCTACTTTGCTGAATTTTGATTTTCTGGGGTTCCATGCGCCTTTAACTCAAAGTGAGCGGAGCCTAGGCGTGTTTACGCTCATTTTGAAGCTCAAAACAAGTCAAATAAAAATATGTACATCAAATTGAATAAAATTGATCTTGAAGTGCATTATAAGCTTAATTTGTAGTTGATGATTTTTGAAATTTTTCGAAACTATGTCCTAATTCTCATATTTTGGACCCAAACTTGGATAAAATAATTTTGCCGTACTTATATTGTCAAGAGCTTTAAAATGAATATAATCATCACCTACTTTTTGAAAATTTTGTTTTTTTTTAAATAATTTTTCTGGTGGTCCATGCGCCTTTGAACCGAAAGTTTCAAAGTGGGCGGAGCCTAGGCGTGTTTATACTCATTTTGAAGCCAGTCAGAAGCTGAATAATATTATGTAACTAAATTTCGAAAATAGTGATTTTGCAAGGATAATGTAGAAAGCTACTGTAGAACTTTTTGAAAAAATCAAAAATTAACAATTTTCGTGGTGTGACCCAAAATTTCGAATCTAGGTTATATTTATATTCATTTCGAAGCTCTTGCTGAGCTGAATTTGATAAAAATACTAAATTTTGAATTCACTCACTTTTTTAACAACCCGAATGAAAAACATATTATGATTGCCAGCCATCGATTTTGGCATATCTGATGGAAGATAGCGACGGCGTCGAATTTGGAAGCAGCTGGAATTTCAATTCAACAACGTGAGGCTTTTCGAGAGCTTCACAATGAGTATAAGCATGTCGAAACTTCGAAAAATTTCAAATTTCCCGCCACAACTTGTCCACGAGGAGTCCAAAACTCGTTATCGAGAAAGTAGGATTATACTATTGAAAGTGTCCGAGAGGCGGAAATCAGAATTTTCAGGCTGTGGATTGTAATTTTTATAATTTCATAATTTCATAACTTCAGAATTTTGGAATTTCAGAATTTCAGATTTCCAGAATTTCAGGATTTCAGAATTTCATAATTTCTAAATTTCAGAATTACAAACTTTCTGGATTTATAAATTTCAGAATTTCAGAATTTCAGAATTTCAGAATTTCAGAATTTCTAAATTTCAGGATTACAAAATCTCTGGATTTTTAAATTTCATAATTTCATAATTTCAGAGATTTTCAGAATTTCAGAATTTTGGAATTTCAAAATTTCAGAATTTCATAATTTCAGAATTTCATAATTTCAGAATTTCAGAGATTCAGAGAGTTTCAGAACCTCAGAGTTTCCGAATTTCAAAATTTTGGAAATTCAGATTTTTTTGGAATTTTCAAAGTTCTAAAAGTTTGAAAAATTTCAGAATAATATCTTATTTCTAGTTTTTTTTTCTGAAAATCTCAAACTTTGGATTACTGTAACTCACTTTTTATCATTTCTAGTCGGCACTAAAACTGTTCGATTTTCGATATAGCTCAAATAATTTTCAGATGACTTATTGAACATTTCAGCACAATCAATGTCGTTGTCCGGTGCCAACGGGACGAAAATGTGGAAGCTGAACATTTAAAATATCGGGATTACTGTAGAATTACTGTACCTATATGTGGCATATGCAGTTAGCGCTATGAATAGGACTAGAAGAACCGCTAGGGGTACTGATAACGCCCACATGGTTTTTGTACAAATGTCGTGATTTGCCATTCTGCAAAAATTGTTGGATATTTTTAAAAAAAATTGTTTAAGCTTGAACAAAAAAAATTGAATTGAAATCAGAATTATATGGAGAAGAATAATTTCAGAAATCTTTTTCGAATTTTCAGAATTTCTAATTTTCAATATTTTGGAATTTCCAAGTTTTCATTGAACTTCGGAGATCTGGAATTTTCAGAAGGAATCGGAATCGAAATCTTCAAATTTCGGGGAATCTCAGAAACTATGATAAAAAACCACAATTTTCAAAAAGAATTGGAAATTCCAATATCCCGAAAAATCCATAAATTTCCAAATTTGAAATTCGCAATATATCAGTATTTTGAAATCTCAAAACTTTGGAAATTAATGAAAATCCAGAATACTGTAAAACTTGTTTTAGAAGGGCCGGCCCTCCTATTACAGGGGCCCTTCAATTAGAGAGGGCCCTTCTATTTTTCCGGCTAGTTTTTTCCAAAATTTAGCATCGAAAAATTCGACAAAGTTTCGTTCAAAATTCATGAAAATCTGCCAATTTCACCAAAATTTAGCAAGATGTTCATCGAAAAATAGAGTTTCAACAAATTTCTATTCAATTGTGTAGTTCCCGGAATATTTTCCACTGAAAACGTACGGAAATTTTCTGATTTTAAAACACATTTTGAAGGGGGGCCCTTCTATTACAGGGGGACCTCTTATTACAGGGGGCCCTTCTATTACAGAGGGTCCTTCTTTGTTTCCGAGTCCCTCTCGGAGGGCCCTTCAATTGAGGGGCTCTTCTATCAAAGTGGCCCGTCTAATACAGGTTTTTCCTAATTTTTAGCCAAAATTTAAAGATTCCAAAAAATCTAAATAATCAAAAATCTATGAAAAAGTCAGAGCTTGAAGATTCTCAAATTCCCAAAACTCTAAAAATTCCAAAAAATTCGAATTTCTCAATTTTTTTTTGCAAATCCCAAATTCAAATTTTCTCAAAATTTGATTAAAGGACGTTCTACTTCCATTTTATTAAGAAGGAGCCAAAATACATAAACAACTTTTAGCAACATTTCCAAAATTCTTAGATTCTTAGATTCTTAGATTCTCAGAATCATGAATATCAAGATCTCAAAAATCCAAACTTCTTAAATTTTCATGTGCTCCAGGATTCTCTGAATCTTCCTGGAGTTTTTCTCAAAAATTCGAGCCAGCGTTTCAGAAAAATATATATTCAAAATCGAAAAAAAATCCTCCTATGTTCATCTAGCAATGACCATATAAGGTCACAAGTCAGAAAAAATTAGGTGATCGGTGAGAAATTTAATCTAAGAGGATCGATAAGAATAGACAGGGAAACTTTAAAAAAAATAGTGTATGTGTGACCAGGTGAGAGATGAAGAGACGCAGAGAAATCAGACAAATAGAAGAAGAAGAAGAAGAAAAAAACAGGTTCTTCTAGTTTTGTAAGTCTTGGGACGACGAGAAAAAGAGATGAACGACCAAACACATCACTTTCTTGTTTATTTATGTTGTTTTGTTGTTGTTAAACGGTTTTGATTTATTGTTTTGTATAGAGTTTAAACAGAAGAAGAGGATGATGATAGTGGAACCTTTTTGATCTTCGAAAATGCAAAAAAACAAATTTGAAAATTGAAAAAAAAAGCTTTTCAAACGTTTCAAAAGATTCTGAAAATTCAGAAAATCCAAAAATTTGAAAACAGAAGATGTCGATCATAGTGGAACCCTTATTGTCTTTGAAAGTTCACTAGCTGCCATAATATGAAAACTAAAAATCAATTTTCTGGGATTACTGTAGGACTTACTGTACCCGTACAAAAAGTTTGAGAATTAGAATGTTCAGAAAATTCAGATTTTCCAAAAACTCAGAAATCTTCAAATTCAAAAAACCCAAAAGTTTGAAAATTCGAAAAAAACTCAGAATCAGATTTTTACTGCAGGATTTCTGTACCTGAACGTTTTGTCATTTTTAGAATTTTCAGAATTCTAAAACTTTCAAAATTTGAGGACTTCGAATTTTCGGAATTTTCACGTTTTTGAAATGTTTAGAATTTTTCAAATAAAATTTAGGAAGATCAGAAGGTCCAGAATTTCTGAAAACTCAGAAAAAATTAGGAAATTCGAAAACAATCAGAATCAGATTTCTCCAAAGATTCTGAAAATTCAGAAAACTCAAAAATTCGGAGTTTGAAGCTCTTAGAAACTCTTAAAATTCCAAAATTGAAGATTCCCAATTTCTATAAAATTCCGGAAATCCAAAAAACTAGAAGTTTCATCAAAAATTTTCCAAAAAATTCAAAAAATCTGAAATTCCATCAAAAACCAAAAATTTCAGATTTTTTTTTGATCCGTAATTCAGAATTTGGGGAACATCCAAATTTCAAAAAAAAAATAGAGAAATACAATTTTCAAAAAATCCAAAAAATCTAGGAAATTCAAATTTTTGCAAATTCCAAAAAATCGGAATTCCTGAAAATCTAGAAATGAATAGAGGGAATTTCAAGTTGGTCGGCGAAAATTCCAGAAAAATCTAAAAATCAATTTTCCCAGATTGTTGGAAAAATTAAAGCCAAACAAATTGGGTTCCAATACCAAATGACGTTGACCAATGAAACGGACGGGGTAATAGAAGAATGACCTTGGTCGGTGGGAAGAAACAAATTTGGGAGAAAAGAAAAATTGGAACTAATGAAGAAGAGAAAGTGACGCTGATGGCCTTCTGAAGGCATTCAGAATTTTAGATTTTTTCAAAAACTCCAAAAAATCGATTTTTGGTCCCTTGGACCATTAATTTTCAGAGATCAATTTTCAAAATAAATAATACTAGTACTCCAAAAAAAGGGTTTCAAATTTGTGATGATCACAAAATTCGAGTTTTGGGTCACAAGATAAAAAAGGAGACAGAAAATTTGGGAGCCTAATTTTTTAAATTTTAAATTTAAAAAAAAATTAAAATCTAAAACACCGATCACATCAGACACAAAAAGTTATATACACTTCCGCAAACATATTTTGCCCCCAAAAACTGAAAAATAAGAAAAAAATGTGACGTCAGAGGGAAAGAAGACAGATTCCAATCTACCTAAAACAGGAGTCTCATGGTCATTATTGGAGGGGTAAATTTGAAAAAAAAAAAAGAAAAAAAATCAAAAATCGGTTTATAATTTACAAAAAAAGCTACACTCATTTAATTCGGGTGAAATTGTACATGAAAATTATCACACAATTATCAGTTAAAACACTTTTCACATTCGGCTAGTACCATTCTGTGCCACGTGGCCAAGAAGCATGCGGGAGATGACGATGCGTTGGATTTGGGACGTTCCTTCGTAGATTTGATAGATCTTGGCGTCGCGCATCAGCTTCTCGACAGGGTATTCCGAGTTGAAGCCGTTGCCTCCGAAGATCTGAAAGAAAAGGAAATTTTGAAGATTTTCCAGCTAGGGAAGAGCAATCTCGCTCTACTGAACTGTCATTTTGAGCACGCTTACTATCGCAGAATACATCTAAAAAGTGGGAGAAATTTTTGATTTCTGATGAAATTGTGATTTTTCGAGATACCAGAAAATTGACTATTTTTTTCGAAAAAAATTCAGATTCGCGAAATGAAAATTCATGAAAATAGAATCCATCATAACGGCTTTCTGCTTAAAATTCCCGATTTTTGAATCTAAACTTCCAGAAATTCGACCATTTTTTTGAGTCTGGAGCTCGACTAAGCTGCAGACTCTTGGAAATGGTCAGAATGGCCGAAAATCCACCAAAACGAACGTTTTTGGATACCTTATCCGCGGGTACTGTAGCTAGGCTAGAGCAATCTCGCTCTACTAAGCTATCGACCTACCTGAACAGCATTAGCAGCCGCCTGATTCGCGGTATCCGCTGCGAAGCACTTTTTGATGCGTTGTAAGAGGATCGGACTCCGTTATCAACATCGGTGGCTGATTTGTATGTGATCAGACGAGCCAGCTCTAGGTTGATAGCCATGTCGGAGAGCATGAATTGGACGGCTTGGTGCTGAAAGATTGGTTTTAGAGTGGAATTCAGATCATATATGCAAAATTTCCAAATTTAAGATCAAAACAAAGCCCCCCCCCCCACAATTTTTCGTCTGCACCTACATTAGCAATCTCCGTTCCGAATGCTTTCCTCTGCAATGCATACTTTGCCGACTCATCCAAGCATCTCCATGACAATCCCAATGCTCCAGCAGCCACTCCAGGTCTAGTCATATCGAATGCACTCATGGCGACCTTGAATCCAGCACCCGGCGGTCCCAGAACATTCTCCTCTGGCACACGAACGTCTTCAAATGTGATAGTTCTGGTATCCGAACATCTCTGTCCCATATTCTTCTCCTTCTTGCCACGAGTGATTCCAGACGTGTCTCCATCGACTATAAACGCTGTGAACGCTTTTCCAGCCGGGGTTTTAGGATTCGGGTCGGATCTAGCCAACACGAAGAACCATTTGGCGTGCCCTCCACCAGTGATCCATGCCTTCGACCCGTTGATAATGTATTCGTTTCCCTTTTTCTCACATTTGGTCTTTACACCATTCACGTCGGATCCGGCTCCTGGCTCCGTGACACAGTAGGAGGCAATGATGGGCTCGGCGGCAAGAGCTCCGAGGTATTTCTTCTTCTGTTCCTCGTTACCAGCAATGTAGACAGGTGCGATCGCGAGGGATGGTCCCATGATGCCGAGCTGGAAAATGATGCTGTGGAATAGATGGAATAGTCTAAAATCGATAATTGATTGAAATTTCTTTTTCGGCTCAAAAAACTGGATTTTGAGAAAATTTTTGAATTTGTAATACATCAAAATGTTTGTAAAATAGGTAGATTCGTACAGCATCAAAGTAAAAATTCAAAAAAAAATTGTAAAATCTCGAAAACTCGCTTCAAAGGGTCATTTCTGGATATTGCTGGAAGGTTCTGGAAAACCGAAAACTCCAAAAAATCGCGTTTTTTTTTTGCGATTTTTCGAGAGAGAAAAATTGATTTTTTTTTCTCTAGTTTTTTTTACAAAATTTTTAGACATTTTCAAGTTTTTCAGCTATTTTTGAAGTTTCTTTCTCGATTTTTCCGAGTTCTTTTACCTGAAATTTGATGGCATGGTGTTGGATTACTGTAGATTACTGTAATTTCCTTTTGTAGTTTTTTTTCCGCAAACACAATCACGTCAAATTGCAAATTTTTTTGTTTGCAAAAAAACCACAAAGGGAAATTAGCTTTCTACAGTAATCTTCGTGAACACCATCTAGTCAAATTTCAGGCAAAAAATTCGGAAAAATCGAACAAGAATTTTCAAAAATAGCTGAAAAGCCTAAAAAGTTCTAAAAATTTTGCCCAAAATCAAAGAAAAAATCGCAAGACGCGATAATTTTTCGGAGTTTTGCGTTTTGGCGGGAATTCAAAAAAGATTCCAGCAATGACTTATTGAAGCAATTTTTTGTGATTTTCAAAGAATTTCCTAAGTTTTTGTTATTTAGGAATGTTTTGGTGTTTGCCGATTTTTCGGATTTTCTTTTCAATTTTCCGCATTTTGGAAAAAATGTAAAACATCACAGAACCTCTCAAAACCTTTTTTGGCGGCTAAAAATGGATTTTGAGGATTTTTTTCAGAAATTTCCTGTCTAAATACATGAAAATCAATAAAAGTAGGTTATCAGATCCTTTTTTCCCGTACTTGAAGCCCAGTGCATCCATATGAAAGCGCCTCCACAATCAACGTCGTCTCCAACGTCGTCATTCCAGGACCGCCATATTTCTCCGGAATTTGCGGATTCATCAGCCCCAAACTATGCGCCTGACGAATGATTTCCCATGGAAACTCTCCGCTTTCATCGAATTTCGCCGCATTTGGAACTAGAACCTCTTTTGAGAATTTCAGAGCGGCAGCTTGAATTTCTTTTTGGGTTTCGTTGAGGTCTAAAAAGCTATTTATTGATTAAAATCGGGGAAAAAAACGAGCCGCACCAAACGAAAGTTGCCGAGTCTGACTGAGAAGCGCGGACCGGGAAATTTGGGTCCTGGCGAGCCGAGAGAGCATCTTCGAAGGCTAGAAATGAGAAAAAATGAATGAAAAGTTATTCTAAAAAATTGCGAAAAATCCAAGAAGAATCGACCGAAAACCAGCGAAGAGCATCTGAAAATCCACAAAAATCCACATATCATTTTTGCGCGTCGAGTTAAATGCTTCTAGGTCCGCAATGGTGAACATTAGAACGGCGCGAACTTCGAATTCGATATTTTTCACAGTGATTTTTCGGGGTTTTCAGCTTAAAATCCAACTTAATCAATTTTTATCATGTAAAAAGAAAAAATAAAACCCGTAGGGCCAGGAACAGACATATAAACGGCTAGAAAAGGTTCTAAAAAGGCAGGAAAAAGAGCAAGAAAAAAATCAATTTGTCTTTTTTCCCTTTGAAACTTTCACTCTCGGCACACCTCGAATTCCATTGATCACCGAACCAATCGTTCGGATTACGGTATGAATTGCGTAGAAAATCACGGATAATGTGCAGAAAATGACGAAGAAGAAGAAGGCGATAACGTCGACCAGGAAGTACTGTAGGAAATTCAGATGGTCGGCACCGCTTCTCGCATGGGGAACTTCTTGGTGACGTTCGATGAATTCCACCCAGAAGGCGGCGTGGTAGAGTTCGGTGTATGGGACATCGATGACCATGTCTTGGAAGATGAGCATCTCTTTTTTGTATCTGGAAACAAATTTGGGAAATTTTGAATGTTTTGGAATCTCAAGCGCGCTCTATTGCCGAATTATTGAAAGATTTTCAAAAAAAAGTTCATTTTTTTGTATTTTTTCAGAATCTTTTCCAAGTCAATTTTTAAGAAGTGGTGATCTACTTCTTGATTACATACGTTTCATTATTCAATCATGGTCCGTATAGGTCCAACGAAAACGCTTCAAAACTAATACATTCCAGTGATTGAGGACTTCAAAATTTTTTGCAATTTTTGAAAAAAAAAATTTTCTATATGTTGTCGCTACTCTCTACAACCGATAAAAACTGGAAAATCATGCCAGCAGGATCCAAGAACGTCGCAAAATCAGGGAAAAAAGAAAAAAAAAGAAAAACCACGAGCGGGTGCGAACCTACAGCTTCAGCTTACTGGCGCAGACCGCATCCCCGACACCACGCCGCCGACACTCTCCACAGAGACCAAAAGGCGGTTAGATGTTAGGCGCTTTCTGATATCATTTCATAAGGAATTCAGTGATGGAATGTGTGGCAAAGCATGCAAATCAACTGAATTCAGTACTAAAATTTTGAACTGAAATATCTTGGCTGAAACTGGCGAGCGGATTCTAAAATTGTCAAAGGTGTCTAGATGGGCTATCCTTTACCTATCCTGAAATTTTCATCAAAATCTGAATTGGCGAGGTGTTGTGGTTCCCTTGTAAAACTGAATTTTTGTAAATTTTCAAAATTTCCGAAATTCCAAGTGCGCTCTATTGCTAAAATTTTACATTTTGTACCTAAAAATGAAGAAAAAAAAGAGGAAAAATTACTTTTTTGAGAAAAACACCACCTAGGGACGAGCTTGAGTTTTCTAGTCCTCGCGGTGAGAAGAAGCGCGCGAATTTGAATTTTTTCTTGATCCTTGGTGTTTTTTAATGGAGTTTTCAGGTTTTTTTTGTCATTTTTTCTGCTAGTATACA